ACAACAAAGATATAGTCTGATGTCCTTGGACATACCTAATATATGTTTGGACGGTCAATAGCAAGAGTTTTAATAATTCGTTTACCCAGTTCTGGGTCCTTTATACATGTTCAAACAAAGTATTGCATGCTGATTAGCACATTTTACGAGGTTTATTCAGTAATTGTCAGTGCATGACATTCCATGATATTTTTATTCCCAATGTGGTTTATACATTATCTTTTGTTACTTGTTTTAGTCCAAAAAACTTGCTTAATGTTCTATATACTAAAATAACAATATACAGATATTAACTCTTATCCTCTGCGTGGAAAGATCAACACCAGAATTGTTGTGAACTAACAATGGCCATATTGTATTATTCATTTACCATCTTTGTTTTGGGTTTTGTTGTATATTTGTAGATAATTCAGTTATTGTTTATTCATATTTTTGTTTAATCAATATATAATTTTTATATAATATCAAACCCTGCACATTGTTATCAATAATTTTCCTCACAATTCAATAATTGCCTCACACCCCTATCCCTGTCAATCAAGCCATTGGCACCATATTTGGATGCAATCACCTATAGTCCAGGAGGAAAGGGGGGTATCGTAACCCGAGCAGGGAATTTATGAGAATATGTGACTTTGGTCAATTTTGGGGCGCTTATTTCAAAAATCGATGTTATACGGGCCAGTACCGGGGCATTCAGCCTCGTTTTGATGCATATAGCCTCGTTTTGGGGCATACATAGGGAACACGTTAGTTGTCTTAGCTAGGGAAACCAGTGATTTTGGTCAATATCGGTGCGCTGATTGATTTTGGTCAATATCGGTGTGCAAAAATCGATGTTACACGGGCAAATACCGAGGCCTTCAGCCTCTTTTTGGTGCATGCAGCCTCGTTTTGGTGCAAATAGATGGAAATCATTAGTTAGCTTAGATAGGCAAAGTCGTTGGTGATCTTGGTCAATTTCGGTGCGCTGATTCCAAAAATCGACGTTACACAGCAAAATACCGAGGCCTTCAGCCTCGTTTTGGTGCTGAAACTGAGTTTCTTGTCTGCTTCCTCGTGGTCGCTGGTTAATTCTGGTAATAAACTCATTGCATTTGTACATGCTAGCCAATTGCCACCTAGCTCAACTGCAATGGTACGGTCGCCATCTGGTGATATAGACATAATAACATAATGGTCACTATTTTTCGGACACGCAGATTCTGACAATGACAGCGGGAAGAACAGGAAAATCATCGACGTGACGTCAACTGAATTGTCCCTTGGCGGAAACGATTATGTATCTAGTTTTTTTCGAAGGAGAAAGCAGGCCGTGTGGAAAGCTGTGACCAAGAACAGTGCCTTTATCGATCTATTTTCACATTTGGGTACGGAGGTGACAGCAAGCGAGGAGTTGGTTCGGGGTTTAGAATGGTTTGTCTGTTCTATATACGGGCATCCACGTATCCTTTCTGTCAATGAGGCAAGGAAGAAAGTATTTTGGAACAAGTTCAACAAGGAGAAGAAGATCATCGACCTAAGTCTGATGCCACCATGCCAGTCAAATATCATCACATCATGAGAGCTAACTATTTCGCGTACATCTTTTGACACGCCGATCAGCTTCTAGTATAACTTGACAGCCCCGACGAGCATGGATGGGACGGAGATGGAAACGTGGTCTGGAGTGACATTTCCTATCCCGAGGAGAATTGATGTGCTACTCGCAGGCACAGAGAGTTAGAACAGTTTGTCCTCCGATGATGACTACGAGGATGATTTGGATGTGGAAATTGAAGACACAAGTGAATTTTGAAAAGGAAAATGCAAGGTTTGTAATCAGAATGTACACGTTTTTTAATGCAATGCATAACATGACCTCAATTTAATGGGGCGACAGAATTGCTTTTTATCAAAAAGAGCAGAAATCACTAGCTTTCTTGCTTGTTTAAGTAGGATCTTCCCAATAGTTCCACTAAATCAAGGATATGCGTATCAAACAGAGAGCTAGAGCTTCCAATATGTCTGCGCATATAACTTCGATTTATGAAATTAGCGCACCGAAATTGAGCAAAATCATCAACTTCCTTGGCTATCTAAGGCACGTATGTAGGCACCAAAACGAGGTTGTACACACCAAAACGAGGCTGAAGGCCTCAGTATTTTGCTGTGTAACATCGATTTTTGAAATCAGCGCACCGAAATTGACCAAGATCACCAACGACTTTTCTTATCTTTGGTAACTAATGATTTCCCTCTATTTGCACCAAAACGAGGCTGCATGCTTGAAAAATATGCCCGACCACGGTGGGAATCGAACCTACGACCTTTGGAATACTAGCCCAATGCTCTGCCAACTGAGCTACGCGGTCAGATCGGTTCGGGTGATATTTCGGGACAGAATCTAGTTCCTAATTCGATATCAATGTAATCTAGCAATCATGATTTATTCTTGCCCGGTGTGGATATACACAAGCATCATATTCACCTGAGTGCATTACACCAACACAGAAAAAATCATGATTACTAGATTGCATTGATATCGTAGGAACTAGATTCTGTTCCGAAATATCACATACTCGAACCGACCTGACCGCGTAGCTCAGTTGGCAGAGCACTGGGTTAGTATTCCAAAGGTCGTAGGTTCGATTCCCACCGTGGTCCGGCATATTTTTCAACCTTGCCCGGTGTGGATATACACTCAGAGTAACATCACAAGCATCATATTCCCCTGAGTACATTACATATATATCTTATATACACTAGATAGCGCATCTCTTTTAGTAAAATTGAAGCCAAGAATATTGCAGCGGTTACCCCCATTTGAATAGATGGCGGCCATATTGGTCGTTCCCACTTGCTAATAAACGCTTAAAAACAACAATAACTTTCATCATTTGAATAG